GGGAACGGTACGCACTGCGGTGTCGATTCCGAACGCGATAAAATCAATAATTCTGCACCGTGATATGTGGCACATTCGAAATCGAATGCCTTCGATTGTTTACGTGCAAACACCATTACCTCCTGGTCTGTGCTCAGCAAGATCCCAGTGAACTGTTTCCGTGTCTGAGTGAGCTTCGTGACCCTGTCCTCGGGATCCTTAGGATATTGGCTTGGGGCAATCAAAAAACCTGGTGGAACGCTCCGGACTGCTGATTAGGCTGGCCTCGGCAGCGGGCGCTATTCATTCGTTTGTTCCTAGATCTACGTTCGACCAGTCGGTATGGCGGAATGGGTTGAGAACCTACGGCACAGGAAAGCAGCTTTGGCTGCAGTCGAAGTAGTAAGTCTGTCTGTTGCTGTGTGTGTGTGTGTGTGTGTGTGTGCGCGTGTGTGTGTGCGTGTGTGTATGTGCGTATGTATGTATGTGTGTGTGTGTGTCTGTATGTGTGTGCATGTGTGTGTGGCGTGGTGTATGTGTGTTTTGTATGCACGTATGCGTAAGAGAGTGTGGTATGTGTGTGTCCATGAATGTGTGGGTATGCGTGCGTGTGTGTAGGGGTATGTGGTGTGATATGTGTACGGCAAAAAATTAAAAAGACCGAAAAGCAGGGATTCATTGGCGAGCAACAACCACTTCCAATAGCTGTTTGGTTTAGACCGGCCTGAATAGTGATGGCCAATTCTTTGGCCATGCAAACTGTTGAATGATGGAATTCCAGCACAAGTTGCTGTGGCTTCGGCTGTAGCGCTTCTACCATCACCTACAGCAATGGGCGTCAAAAGATCAAAATGTGTGTGTGTGTGTGTGTGTGTGTGTGTGTGTGTGTGTGTGTATGTGTGTATGTGTGTGTATGTGTGTGTGTGTGTGGATGCATGTGTGTGTGTGTGTGTTTGTTTGTGTGTGTGTGCATGCATGTGTGTGTGTATGTGTGTATGTGTGTGTGTTTGTGTGTGTGTGCATGCATGTGTGTGTGTGTGTGTGTATGTGTGTGTGTGTGTGTGTGTGTGCGCGCGCGCGCGCGCATGCACGCTCGCACGCCCGACCATGAAACCTGCCCTAACCCGACACCCTTTGTGCTCTCGAAACTGTCCTGACATGACATGATCCCGCTCGGTCCAGGGATGCGCCTTAGTCCATAGTATTTTGGGGCATGAAGATGTGTCTTGCAATTACATGATTCCGCTTGGTACAGGGTCTGGAGAAAACAGGTTACTGCATGTTACAGGTCCTTTTACACGCAGTCATTGAACCAGGGACACTGTTGTCTCTCGTGTAGATGAAATGAATGACGGTCTTGGCATGGTTGTATAGTCTGCACTCTACAACATTTTAAGAAAGTGGTAGACATGCAACTGCATTGAAAAGAAAAGGGGGTTTGTCAACTGACAATCGCTCAGTCTATTCAGTTGCTATTCACACTCGGCGCATGCGCTGGATGGGGTCTGACGATGGTTGACTGGCCCGAACAGTCATAATTTTTCGACATCACAAATAAAGAATTTTTCATCCAGCGCATGTGCCGAGTGTGAATAGCAACTGAATAGAGTGGTTGTCATTTGGCAAACGCCCTTTTTTTACTGTACATCATATAGTGTAATATCACGATGTAGAGTGCATGATGTAGAATGAGTGATGTAGAGTGTGTGATATACATGTTTAGTGCGTGATGTAGAGTGGAGAGTGTGATATGTAGAGTGGAGAGTGTGAGATGTAGAGTGGAGAGTGTGAGATGTAGAGACTAGAGTGTGTGATGTAGAGTGGAGAGTGTGAGATGTAGAGTGGAGAGTGTGTGATGTAGAGTGGAGAGTGTGTGATGTAGAGTGGAGAGTGTGTGATGTAGAGTGGAGAGTGTGTGATGTAGAGTGGAGAGTGTGTGATGTAGAGTGGAGAGTGTGTGATGTAGAGTGGAGAGTGTGTGATGTAGAGTGGAGAGTGTGTGATGTAGAGTGGGGAGTGTGTGATGTAGAGTGGAGAGTGTGTGATGTAGAGTGGAGAGTGTGTGATGTAGAGTGGAGAGTGTGTGATGTAGAGTGGAGAGTGTGTGATGTAGAGTGGAGAGTGTGTGATGTAGAGTGGAGAGTGTGTGATGTAGAGACTAGAGACTAGTAGTAGTGTGTGTTATACAGTGTGTGATGTACAGTGTGTGATGTACAGTGCATGATGTAGAGTGATGCAGAGTGACGTAGATTATCTACAGAATATTTTTGAGGAGGTACTAAAGTCACTGAGCAACTCTTTCAAACTTCATCCATTCAGCTTGCTAGTAACCAATTCCCTCGCAATCTCCCATTGTTTTGCTTGGCAGCTGCTTGCATTGATCGTGATCCTTGCACTGACGGCATCTACAGACAAAGCCACAGCACAGCCTGGCGTTAGTGACATGGATATCCGCTACGAGGTCAAGATCAAATACCCCTTCCACGACCTTATCGGTAAGACACATATTCCCAATTTATAGAGGCTGTGCGAATGCGTCATCAGTTGAGATGCTTTGGCGAAGTCACGGACTTGCGGGCACAGCACCGCACTTACACTAGTGACTCATGCTGCAAACATAGCGCTGATGACAAACAAAGTCCCGGGTTCGAGTCCGGCTGGTCTTGGCATTATTATTTTTTCTCTTTTTCGGACAGTTCACTTCCACGACTGATCCGGTGCATTTGAACTTCTCCCAATCCTCTGAAGTAGCGACAAACTCCGCCATTTGAAAATAATTTGATCTCTCCGCCTCCTGGAGAATATTTCACACCGTTATACACCACTACTCAAATTATTCCTGAAGGTGGCCAGGCCCGAAAAGTTGGATTTAATTCCCGTAGCTATGCAGAAGACGTTACTTCAGTAACGTCTGGCGCTAGCCAGGGTCCCCACAGCTTTAATTCCCGTAGCTATGCAGAAGACGTTACTTCAGTAACGTCTGGCGCTAGCCAGGGTCCACACAGCTTTAATTTGGTATTTGTTTGTTTGTGTGTTTGTTTGTTTGTTTGTGTCACGCCTGGCGCTATCCCGTATCTGTCCCGTATCTGTCCCGTATCTGTGACTACAAAGGCTCTACAGGATTGTACATAACAGCTGTCCACAATATTTGCGGGCTCCTGTATCTGTCCCGTACCGTACCAATATTCGTCGTATTATGCATACGACTCCCTGATGTAGAGTGGGATTTGGAAAGAAATAGGGAGACGAGGAGGAAATTAAATTAGAATAGACGCCGATAAGGTGATAGGATGCGTCAGCATAAACATACTTTGGAAGAGAGATCCCGTCGTCTCCAAAATAAGCGTGAACGAGCGATTCAGTGCCGGTCACAGGAAACGTCGGAAGAGAGATCCCGTCGACTCCAGAACGCCCGTGGTCGGTAGAGTCCGGCGGTACCAGGCAACGTCAGGACAGACATCCCGTTGAGTCCAGAACGCCCGTGATCGGCAGAGTCTAAGCCGGTCCCAGGAAACGTCAGGACAGACATCCCGTCGAGTCCAGAACGCCGTGATCGGCAGAGTCAGCGCCGGTCCCAGTAAACGTCAGGACAGACATCCCGTCGACGCGCAGAAAAACAAAATCTGCAGCCTCTTTTGCCGTTGAACAGGATACGTTATATAGGAGACTGTAAAGTTATGTAATGTCCAAATTTCGACGTGAGCAGCAGGTCACTCGCGTTGATTTTTTCGACGTGCGAGCCAAATAACGCGAGCTGAACTTTCGCGTCGCAGACATCCCGTCGACGCGCAGAAAAACTAAATCTGCAGCCTCTTTTGCCGTCGGACAGGATACGTATTTTAGGAGACTGTAAAGTTATGTAATGTGCTCCACAGGCAACCATGCATTCGGCGTCGTCATTGGCTCAACAGGTCAATGATTATGTACATGTATTACTACAAAAAGACCAGAAAATCCGATTCCTGTATTAAAATCAACTAATGTTCGCTGGCGATTTAATTTCGCTGATTTCGCCGCTTGGTACCAACCGGCCAAAGTAAATCGCAGGCCAAAGTTTGTCATATAGGAAAATGATGCATGATTGAGCAATGGATGCATGTGAGAGCAAAAATACCGATCGATTTCAAATTTGACGTGAAACTGCGCGTCACGTCGGAAATAACGTGCATCTTAACCTCTCTAATCGAGAGGTTTCTATTTCTCATCGGCCAAAATTTGTTGATTTACAATATAAGGAGATAAAAATTAAAGAAGGAGCAAAACAAAATTAGATGATTATTAGAGAAACAACAATCCGCAATAAATTCTGCAAATACTTTTGCCTAACTCATAATATTCAAACCGATTGAAACGTTTTTGCAATACAGTGATGTGGCCAATGAACGGAAAAAGACAATTCCATCAGTTCTTATAACATGTACGATGAGCTAGGCAAAAAAGCAGAAAAGCATAGCGTAGGGCCATGAGCTTCCAAGCTCTCTCGTTCCCGTAGCTATGCAGAAGACGTTACTTCAGTAACGTCTGGCGCTAGCCAGGGTCCACACAGCTTTAATTTGGTATTTGTGTGTTTGTTTGTTTGTGTCACGCCTGGCGCTATCCCGTATCTGTCCCGTACTGTACCGTACCAGCAAAGACAGCTGGCCACAATATTTTTGTTTGTTTGTGCCATCGACATGCCTGGCGCTATCCCGTACCTGGCCCGTACCATCAAGAGTACGGTACCAACAAGATAATGGGTATATATGCGAAGTGTATCGGGGGAATGCATTCAGTGCAGTAACATTTTGTGTGGATTTGTGTGCGAGGCCGAGATCCCACTAGCAGGCTGGCTGGGCCGCCTGCCGACCAGCCCAGGAATCGCATGTAGGCGGATAGCATCATAATTATAACGTTTATACAGTCATGTAGATGTATAGCAGGGAGTCATATTATGTAAACGACTCCATGGTGTATGGGGAGATTTCCTGGAAAGAAATACGAAGTAGGGAGACGAGTAAATGCAATCAGAATGGATGTTAGTTGCCGTCAGTATAATAATAAGAAGAAGATAAACTTCCGTGATCGGCAGAGTCAGCGCCGGTCCCAGGAAACGTCAGGACAGACATCCCGTCGACTCCAGAACGCCCGTGATCGGCAGAGTCAGCGCCGGTCCCATAGCTATGCAGAAAACGTTACTTCAGTATCTCATTGAAACGTTTTTGCAATACAATGATGTAGCTAATCAAAGGAAAAAGCATTTCCATCAGTTCTAACAACATGCACGAGGAGCTAGGCAACAAAACATAGCGCAGGGCCCTGAGCTTCCAAGCTCTCTCGTTTGGTATTTGTGTGTTTGTGTGTTTGTTTGTTTGTTTGTGTCACGCCTGGCGCTATCCGTATCTGACGGCAAAAAAGCATAAGATGTTATAAATTTTTCAATTCTCCTATTTTTTTCAGGCATATTCTGGGATTCGAACCCGCACTATCGCCCTACATGCATTCCCCATACACTTCGCATTCATACCCATTCTTCCAAGTTGCTTCACGTTATTATCTTGCGTTTGAAAGCCCTATTTAAATATTGCGGGCAGCTGTATGTGGCCAGCTGTGTTTGATGGTACGGTACGGTACGGGAGACGGTGTCGTATTACCCTCGATCGTACCTGTCCCGTACCTATCCCCTACCGTACTGTGCTATCAAAGACGGCTGGCCACAATGCATATTCAAATAGGGCTTTCAAATGCAAGATCACAATGTGAAACAACTTGGAAGAATTAGTATGTATGCGATGTGTATCGGGGGATGCATGCAGGGCGCGCGATAGTGCGGGTTCGAATCCCAGGTTATGTCTTAAAAAAAGGATTTTTTTAAAGAATTTATAACATCCCTATGCTTTTTTTTGTCTAGGTCATCAAGGCAAAAAAGCATAGCGTAGGGCCCTGAGCTTCCTAGCTCTCTCGTTATTTTTGGAAGAATTTGTAGCCAAGAGACCGTTTTTTGCGTAGTGGTGTATAACTGTGTGAAACATGAACTGTGGCTACAGTGGAGCAGAGGTCTAGCCCGGTTTTTTGCCAGCCGGCCAACGTTCCAGTTAAAATGCATCGTTCTGGGGGCTGTGCCCCCAGACCCCCGCCATCAGTCACATATCCACACAGACACACACACACACACACACACACACACACACACACACACCACTACAAATCTTTCATTGCAGCTTGCATCTCCTTTCGCTTCGTCCAATTATGGGCATTCATCAGGCAGTTGTGACAATGTGATTATAGGTATTAAAATAAACAAAATATGACAAAGGAAGCAAACAGCTACATGAGCATGGATCATGACTGTGTTCACCAAGGTCATGTCTGCATGCAGTGTACATTGGTCATCTCACAAGACCCAGCCTAGCCACAGCCGTGTACACCACCAGAAGCAGGGAACCATGACCCAACCTGTTACATTTTACTGACGTACTCAAGTGCATACTCAAGTGCATTTGAGCTTGAGTGAAGAGCAAGCACTGAGCCTGAGTAGCCAGTGCTACGTACTGTACTGTACATACCTATGCCTAGGATATGGGTTGTACTCCACCATCTCGACTCAAGTGCTAGTGCAGTGCACTACAGTCTACATGGGGGTGACTGCAGCCGGCCAAATTTACCCTTGGAGCTGTCTCAGCCGGCAGGTCACCCTCCCAGCCGGCTTTCTGCTGGCTGAGCCGGCTTTGGCTAGATCACTGGTGGAGTGTGAACATCCTTAGAAATGCTGGAGAATATGGAGCATCTATCCAAGAACGAACTTTCTCCCTATGGAGTATGGTGTTGTGAGTGTGGGTGCAGAGCGCAGTGTGGAGAGGTGGAGGGTTCAAACTTTTGTTCCCCCAAACCTTGCAAGATAGATGAGTAAATCGTTGTTTCCTTCTCTGTTGCCGTCCTCTCTAGGGTATTACCTGGGGAAAGATGCGCCACCCGATAATTACACTGTCTTCGTCGACAGCAGTGTGATATCGACGTCTCAGCTTCTCCTGGCTACCGGCATAATCTGCATTGTGATATCGGTGATACGGCTAGTTCTCTACGCTGCTCTCGGGGAACATCCAAAGTCACAAAGGGTGCCACCAGCAGTAAGTAACTACTGTCACTTATTATTTTATTATCCTGCCAAAATGTGTGTACCTCATTACACGAAAGATATAATTATGGTGTATACCGTATTTTCCGCAGTACTAGCACCACTTTGAACACTCGAAATTCACCCTAAAAAAAGGCGGGGTGCGGCTCACGTATACTCAAGTGAGTTGACTCAACTTACGGTGATAAATCGGGTAGATGTCTGTGTTTCGTGGCAAGGGGGGGGGGGGGGAGGGGCTTATACTCCGGAAAATACTGTATCTAAATGATGCCCCATTAAAACAAGTCACACGTAGACATATTTCCTAAATATTTCATTTAGACAACATCTGTTGACGTGTGAAGATGCCCTCCCCCCCCCCCCCCCACCCGGAACCTATCGATTGTTCCAGTCATCACCGATTAGTCGGGTCATCCAGCCATGGTATTGCCAGACCAATGAAAAGCTGCATCGGGGGGGGGGGGGGGGGGGGGGTGGGGGTGGGGGTCCTCTCCACGGGGCTATGCCAATGGCGTGTGACATGCACACAATGAACACAGTAGAGAGGTTCTGCAAAACGAAAATGTGTACGAACTTTCGCTCTACGTCACGAAATGAGAAACTTCGCACGAACTTTCGCAACTTTGGACGCGAAACTTGCAGGGAACGCGAAATGAACTTTCGTAGGAAGTTTCTTGAGATTGGGTCATGTCGTACGTGCACTTGGCGCGTGCAAACTACGAAAATGTGCAGAACACAAAGTTCGTGCGAAAATTCGTACACACTTTCGCAAGGCCTGTCGCGACACTTCGTTCGAACTTTCGTTGTGCAGAACCTCTCTAGTGACTACAGTTCATTCATCGGAAACAGTCCCGCTGCCTTTTGAAAGTTGGATTTGGGCTGAATTGAGGATCAAAACCCACTTTAAATCTAAAAAATCTGGGTTTTAGATCTGCTTCTCCATACATTTTGCCATGGCATACCGGTCCTAATTTTGTTTCGTAAGCATTTCTGGTGAAGCCAGGGTCCCCTGCGGATGGCAGATGGTCAATCTGACCAACTTCGACATGCGTCGTGACTTTTATTTTCCTGATCGTCTATACGTTAAATGTCTTTATTAAAAAGAACTAACACCAAGGGACTGATGGCATTTGTCTGCACTACGGAGAGTTCTTCTTATCCATATTTATACACAATTTATGGACAGTGATTTATGCAATAAAGTTACAAATATTAGAACTTCAAAAGCGAAATTTTGTCTTATCCGTTCTCACTGTATTTCTGTACACTGTACTGTTCCAATACAGGAGTTGGTAGCGACATCATTCATGACACTGATGCTTGTCGTCTCAGCCAGTATGTTCGTCTGGCAAGTATCCGACACTCTCATATCAAATATCTCCGCGAATCTGGACGTAGTGATCGGAACCTGTCCGACTGAAATGAAGTGTTACAAGTCTCTGCCACGGTTCAGGGCACTCTATGCAGCAGGGGTAAGATACTTCCTGTTGTGTGTGTGTGTGTGTGTGTGTGTGTGTGTGTATGTGTGTTTTGTGCTCTTTGGCAGTAGGTTACACTTTCTGAGCTCCGGTTTTGGCTTTCTCCAAAGTTTTCTGCCTGCCCAGGGAGACTCTGGTATAGGCATAGCCAGAGTCGACTCTGGAGCACCCTCGCACACTGCCAAGGTAGTGCTGCATGATTTGAACACGGAATCGCGAGCACCATGAAAGTAAAGAGTACACAGCTCCAAAAAGTTGCTGCTTTATGTCTCTATACGATGCTGCGACACCAGAACTATAACACATTACATGGTTTGGCTGCGCACAACCCTGTACCAATCATACAAAGAGTGTATATTATCTGTTCGGGTTTGTCACGTGTTGTGAAGTTCCGCCATCGCGAGCGTATACTGGAGTTTCACGCTTTGGGGATTATGACCCCTGGAATGTTGCTCTTACCGCAACATTCAGTTCACTGTGCATCCGCTCTCTCCGTGGTCTTCTTCTGCAGGCATTTCAGTTCATCTCGGCGGTAGCATGGGCAATAAACATTTGGTTTGCATTCCGAAACACGTACCTGCACCGTCCGTACTACCTTGACCAGATGGAGGCCGGTCAAGGACCGGGTGCACAGGAAATTCCCACGACCAGCACGCCGGCAACCTCTTACGGTGAGTTTAAATGGAACAGTTGTGGTTTCTGTTTCGTCTTCTCTTGTCTGTCTATCGATTGATGTGTTGGTTTGTGTGTGAGCCTCATACCCCAGTAGATGGCCAAACGTTTCTGTCTGCATGCAAACTCGTGCGTTTGTGTATATCTGTCTGTACGGGTGTTGGTCTGTTTTTTAAGCCTTTTCTCTTTATATCTCCCTATCTCTCTGTCCCAATATGTCAGTCTGCCTGCCTGCCTGCCGGTCTGTCTGTCTGTCGGTCTGTCTGTTTCTCTCTCTCGCTCTCTCTCTCTCTCTCTCTCTCTCTCTCTCTCTCTCTCTCTCTCTCTCTCTTTCTGTCTCTGTCTCTGTCTCTGTCTCTCTGTGTCTCTCTCTGTCTCTCTCTCTTGCTGTCTGTCTCTCTCTCGCTGTCTGTCTGTCTCTCTCTCTCTCTCTCTCTCTCTCTCTCTCTCTCTCTCTCTCTCTCTCTCTCTCTCTCTCTCTCTCTCTCTCTCTCTCTCTCTCTCTCTCTCTCTCTCTCTCTCTCTCTCTCTCTCTCTCTCTCTCTCTCTCTCTCTCTCTCTCTCTCTCTCTCTCTCTCTCTCTCTCTCTCTCTCTCTCTCTCTCTCTCTCTCTCATGGGTACTGCGGAGGTGTATTCAAACCGCCATCCCATCAGCAACAACATCTGTTGCCTAGTTTCCGCACAAATTGACATTTTTCTGTTCTTACGCCGTCTTGCTTTTAAAACTCTCTCCTCACCACAGGAACTGGCGAGGGACGAAGCTCCAAGCGATTTAACCCAGGCAAACAATGGGAGCCAAAAGAGATGAGTGTGATGTCAAAACCGACAGCGGCAGACATGGACGCTTAACGATTCAGTTCAAAGTCTTTATTTTCTCATGAAGCAATTGCTTCTGACTGTTGATGGCTGAACTTTCATTTTTTATAACTACACTGCCAATAGGTTAACTCCATTCTCCCGACCAGAATGATTTTACAGTGGATTACTTGTCTGCAGAACCTAAGGCAATGATTTTAGTAGAATCATAACTACTCGTCCTTGTCGTACTGCTGTTTTAAACCGATAGGAGGTAATGCGATTTTTGTTGACATTCACTTTGAGAGATGACTCACATGGGTCATATTGTTCCCATTGCCGGAATTGATCATTTTAATGGAGGAGTTGGCACTTCCTTTACATTTGATTTCCCTTTTAATTGGCGTTTAGGTAAACTTCACCTTGGTAGCGTATAGCTGTCCAATTCTTTAATAGATTTAAATGTACTGCAGTACATGTACATTGCTACTAGCTGCGGGAATGCGATTCGGCTATGCTTATTAAGCCATGCTTAGTAATGTGATTGCATCTCAGATTTTGTGTGCTGCTAATGCGAGTACTGGTGGTTACTGTGTGCAACAGCCGTCACGTCTGCCGTCACAACTGCCACCTCATCTCTACCATTTAAAATGTATCTACTTCGAAGTACTTACATGCCTTACATGCCTTGTCTGACGTAATATGAATAGGGCCTGAAAGTGTTACGTCATGGCATAGCAACAATTTCAAAAAATCAAAAACTGGATCCACATGGATCCAGTTTTTGTATGGATCCGAGCACATTTAAAGCGGTCTTACTTACAGCAAGGCGATATAGCTGGTGAAATTGACTGGGTTGGCAAATGGGGGTGGGGTGACAACTGGTGGCGAAGAAAACGTCCCACCTGCATACGACATGAGTAGGTTGCAATGCACCCACACACTGTAGGCAATAGCAAAGTCACACCTTAGTGGATCCAAAAGTAGAAATCTGTCGTGAACTTACTACTCCCTGGCCGTTTTGCCGTCATCACTTTAAAGCCCTAGGATGTTATTGTACTTTTCATTCAATGAATTTCCTTTTCTTGCTTCTCATCATTCATAACGAGAGAGCTTGGAAGCTCAGGGCCCTGCGCTATGCTTTTATGCTTTTTTGCCTAGCTCATCGTACATGTTATAAGACTGATGGGAATGTCATCAAACTACTCCACACGTTTACAAGTCGGATGCAGTTTTTGACGCTCCTCTGTAGTGTGTTTTTTCCTTAATCGTTTTGCCTGCCAATTTCATATGTCATAAGTCCAGTCTATCAGGAATCAAGAAATGAACAACGAGGAAACGTTTCCGGTCTGGAAAGATGTGCCTGCTGAACAGCTGAAGCAGAACTCCGTGAAGTTTGTCTGCCCCCGGAACATCAAAATCTTGGATGTGGCTGAGGCGATCGCGGCCTCCGGCTATGATGACCTCCTATCGGTACAGATAAGTGCAAATAGTCGATGCATTGTAACTTTCCTGTCCAACGAGAGTGCGATGGCCATGGCAGATCACGGCATTGAGTTGGACGGAACCGCCATTCTTGTCCATTTTTTCACGGAACCCCTGGTTGAAATCAGAGTCTTGGATGCACCAATCTGGGTCTCTGACCAAGATCTCATTGTCTGTTTGGCGGGGTACGGGACATGCGCAGGCACGCAGGGAGTACGGCATGGGCACATTGTCACGAAATCTGGCTTGAGAGTTGCTACGGGTATACGACATTTGACCTTCCAGCTAAACAAAGGCACCCACATCCCGTCCGTCATAAAAACCCAGGGCGGGCTGACTGTACGCGTACGCTACGATGGCCAGGTGCGTACTTGCAATGTGTGCAACAACCCTGACCACCTCGCAGCACAATGCCCAAATAAGGGCATAAACGCACGTGCACCACCCCGTACAGGGCGAGCCCCACCACCACCAGCTGGGGAGGCGTGCAGTCAAGGCCCGTCTGGCAGCACGGAGGTAGTTGAGACCAGGGAGTCGTAAAATACCGGGAGGCGACACGCCACACATTTCACGATCCGAGGATTGCCGCACTCGACCCGCGAAATTTGAAGCGTGATTGAAACGTCGTCGTCATCTTCTTTTTCTCAATTGTTTTTGCTATATGCTTCGAGGCTATTCTGGATCTCCAGAGCGAAAGCTGGTTGTTTCTGATACGTACCACGCATTACCTTAGGTTGAGCCGTGGCTTTTAATTTTTTTTTGGAAGTTCACTGCTTTGGAGACGACGGAATGTCAAGGTAAGTTATTCACGAAATGTACTCAAATTTGAATTGAGTCAATGCGAATGACACCCTGTTTTCGGAATAGTTCTCCACTAAACACACCATGCCCATGGCCCCTTCATGTTGTCCAAGTTCCATTCTAGGTTTGTGTGAAGTTTCGAGATGAAGTTCGACGATGTACTCACCTTTCCATGGAAGGGAAAAAAAAGTAGCATATCAAACAGAATCCATGCAGTATTTGATGCCACTATCCTCATTCTTCTGCATTCAAAGTGTTTCACATTTATATGGCCCATGAACTGCAAACAATATTTGTCATTTCTTAACTGTTCATAGCTGTTCATAACTGTTCTGAACACATTGCCTTCAGGAAACGTAAGGCCGAGTCGCCTCACCGACTGAGCAAAGTTCTCTGCGACGAAAGTCACACTATCGGCGAATGCACTCAAGGTGAATACCCGTCAATATCCTGTATACTGCTTGTACCGCTTATCACAGTAGCATACACACAAGCACACATACATACACACCTGGTCCTGGTCCTGGTAAACACTGCCATTACGGTCACGTGTCCCCTTACGGGGCCGACAATATAGAACGACGAGCGGGACCACGTTCGAGAGAGCCATCTCCAGCAGCTATGGATCTGGCTTATCATGGGAAACAATTCCTCTCACGGCTGCCGCTACTACCAACTACCGCACGAAGACATACACACACACACACACACACACACACACACACACACACACACACACACACACACACACACACACACTCACACACACACACACACACACACACACACATGCATGCTCGTGCACACACAAGCGCAAAATTCACATATCACTGGTTCAGTTGTTTTTATCTGTGTCGTATTTTGTCTTATACAGAGCGTGTTGCTTGTGTGTGTTGAGCATGCTGGGGAACTGGGAATGGGTTATTAAATTAAGCTGGTGAAACAAGGAGCATGCAGCAGGCACAAGTACAAACGTATGCTTCTGCTCTTCATGCTGTGTTGCAGCTATGGGTGCTGCATAGCCATGGTCACGGAGCGGTTGGTCATTTCTGGGCAACGCTTGATGCTCAAAAGTTTGGAGAATGGCTCCAAAATTCTCCAAACAAGGCTGAAGGCTTGTCACGGCATCCTTGCCAAATAAAGGTATAAGCTGCAGCAAGTTGTCGTTGCGACACCTTGCTCCTTCCAGCTCACGCCGCACGGCCACCAAGCACCAACCACCATGGTACTTTTCAGCAAGGTGAGACAAATTGTCAATCACCGGTTCGGGGATGGCTTCAGCAGCTTTGGATGGTGCTATTGACGCTTTCCTGATAGCAGCGGCAGCCGTGGCATGCAGGTAGCTTATCAGATTCGCTAGCACTGCAGATGTAACTTCCAAATCTGAAGAAGAGAAAAGAAAAAGACAACATATAAGGACTGGTGGTTGCAGAGACTGTACTAGTATTCAAAAGCCAGCGTTTGCATACCTAGTCTGCATACCTAGTCAGAAGCCAATTTTTTTCCAACGTGCATGCAAAACGCACTGACCTTCACAATTGATTTTCACTTCGGGAATAGCTGTTGCGATGACGGACAGCATTTGTTGCCATGCTTGCGAAATATCAGCACCCTTGCATGCCTTCAGCTGGCACACTTCCTGGCGTAGCAGATTTGCAGTACCTGATGCCTTGTGTAACCGTGTCGTAATAACATGCAGGAATGACTCCGTCGCCTCAGTAACACTCGCCTGTCTCATTGTCAGCAGTTTGCAAATTCCATGGATCACTGCACCTTCCATAGGCCTGTACACCATGATGGCACTACCACTCTTACATCGATCTGCACATAGACAAAGTATGGTTTGAGGATGGAGGTTTACATCATCTACGGTGATGATACATACTAGGTATACACGTAAATTTTCAGGACTTCAATAAATATCCTGTCACAGTGAACAGACAATGCATCGTGGGCAGACTAGGATGAAAAGGATGGTGTCGACCACCTAATTTATCGGGTCAGTTCGGGCACTTAGGTATGCTACAGATTATATATTCGTGTCCACAAGGAAGAGACAAAAACATGCAAACGAAAGAATCTCACCTGTAGCCCACAGCTGAACATCCCCACAACTCAGGTCACCAAGTGAATACGTGGCGTCATCTACATCTTCCACGGTGGACTCATCACTTTGGCAGTCATCTCTGTCAAGCTCCATCATCCTTTACTTCGAAGGCCAAGGCACAAAGTATTATTACTTAGAAAAACAAAACGAACTGCTGACACTGGATTCGTTGTGTGCAGGATAATTTTATTGAGTTTTCAAATTTGTTGGACCAAACAGCGAACGCGTCCTTTTGCATGACCTGCGCCGCTTTGACCTCATGGGAAGTCCCTCGCCATGCAGCGCGTGAGGTCTCAGCACTCGTGCCCGAGCTGAGGCAATCATCCGACGCGGTTGTGCATCTCGTGTCGCCTCCCGGTATTTTACGACTCCCTGGTTGAGACATCCACGACATGCACACCGCCACCAGCTGGGGAGGCGTGCAGTCAAGGCCCGTCTGCCAGCACGGAGGTAGTTGTAGCTGTACCACCACCAAACACGTACAGTCAAGCCCTGCAAAGTCCAACCGCACGCGCACCACCTGCCAGCACTGAGGTACCACCACCAAACACGTACAGTCAAGCCCTGCAAAGTCCAACCGCACGCGCACCACCTGCCAGCACTGAGGTGGTCGCAGCCGCAGTACCGCACACAAGCTTGACCCCAGCGAAGCCAGTAGCGTCGCCAGCCGCCAACACAGTCGCCTGCACCCCAGTCACGCCGACAACTGCTCTGGCCACCTCCAGGGGGAAAACCACACACCCATCACCGGACACTGAAGACGATGGCTTTACTCCAGTGAAGAGGGGAAAGAACTCCTTTCGCCCAGGTAACAGTGCCACCTCGGAATGCCAGAACAACGACACAGACCCACAGGTCACGTGGGCTAACGAAGTCAGTGCGAAAGAGGTCGAAAACCTCCTCAAGCGGATCCGCAGACGCAAGGGCAGCTTCTAACCGGTCTACAGCCACAGGCGTGCAGCCATCACTCTCCCCTCCTCCTCCATCAAACACTTGTAAGTTACCCCACACTAGCCTTAATGTAGGAACCCTCAACATTTGCAGCCTCAGGAACAAAGTTGAAGAAGTCCGCCACGTTTTGCATAATTTTAACCTAGATGTATTAGCCATTACTGAAACTTGGCTCAATGACACTATAAGCGATGCCCTAGTTGCAATACCTGGCTACTCTATACTTAG